AAGCACTGGATATCAGACCAAAAACTGGCACTGAACAATTCTCCCATACTGAACATAAATCGGCTATTAGGGCGCACCGACCGTGAAACCTGGTGAACTCGGGATGCTAAGGAAAGGGAAGTGGCCCAGAAAGTCGGAAATGCCCGAAGATTAGTTTAGTTGATTCATCCGATCGGTCTCTGGAAACCGCCTGTCAGCGAAACCATCAGGGATCAGAATGGAACGACCACTTTGAATAAAGAAGAACGCCTCGACCGTTGAGCACGATACTTCGAAAGATTATCACGGCCACCAGCTGCCTTCATCTGGAGCCTCCATTCAGCTACAGCACCCTTTCGGTGCCTAGCTGTCAATTCCCCCAAAGGAAGCATGAAGGGTGGAATACTGCCAGGTTGCCCAAGCCTAGACAGGGGAAGTCGAGAAGCAGAGGTCGAGTTCGAATCACGGACCTTCCGGTCAGTAAATTGCGTTCTAACCACTTGGGCCATCTCGTCCCGGTCAGTAAATTGGAGCATTAATCACTTGAGTCCACCCCCGACGCAGTTAAAAAAGGAGTGTTTGGTTGTGCAACAGTGACTTCGACCGAATGCGTTCAGCACCAAAAACAGCGCTGGTTAGGCCACGTACGCATGCCAAGTCATCGTTTGCCAAAGTGTTGAGAGATTGGCGGGAGCAGAGGGGTGGTCAACCTCTGGCTTGGAAGAGAAATGTCATCATCATCAACAGCATGATATCGTGTTGAACACCGATGTTTCACTGACGTACAGCCATGATTTATTTGAAAAGCTTATTGTGAAGAAAATAATAAATGTGCACGGAGAATGGACTTAGTTCTAGCTTACTACAATCATTCCGAGATGCCTACACCTCCAGACATCCACTCAGGCAATCTGGATACAAAATGACAACAAGAACGCCACTGACATCGGTTGGCAGCCATATCTTGTGGTGTCTCCAACCAGGCGCAGTGAGGATCACGCGGCGCCATCCTGGAAGGCGAGTAGCACTGACAGCAGCCAAGCGTTTCGTAATCTTCTTCACATCCTTCTGCCAAGTCGAGGGTTGGCCACCTCTCTTATTACGCCACTCTGAGCTGGGCATGGAAAACGGTACTCTCTGCGGCAAACGATGGTTTGGCATATGCAACACATGTCCCAACCGACGCAGCTTCTGGTGCTGGACACATTCTTCAATGGACGTACCTGTTGCACAACCAAACACGCTTTCTATTTGCCTTGTTACGGATACGCCGACACCAACACTCACGACCTATGGTTCTGAGAAAACCACTATCGAACACCTGAAGGCGTCTCAGTTCCGCTTCTCGAACAGGACAAGTCTCAGCCATACAACAAAGCAGCATACACAGTAGCTTGATACAAACGTCTCTTGATTGATTTCGGGAAAAGCACACTGACGACATAGGTGTCTCAAATTAGCGAACGCGACCCGGGGTGGCAGACTGGTGCATTCACTTCATCTGTCACACTAAAGTCAGAATTGATACAACTTCCAAGATAAGTAAAACACTCCACAACTTCCAGTACCTCTCCTTGGATTGTAAGTGGCGTGTTCAGTGACTGCACGTCCACAAGCATGACCTTACACTTTGTAGGTGTAAAGTGCATACAAAAGGACGGGATGACTTTGGTCAGTTCATCCAAAAACATCTGCGCCTTCTCCTCCTCTTCGAACACGAGAACGTTGTCTTCTGCATATTCCAGATCGACAATGTTTTCTTCACAGGCTACTTGGACACCAGGGTTTTGGAGACCCTACAGCGTTCGTCTCACGAGTTCATTGATCACGAAGTTAAAAAGAAATGGAACAGATAACCGCGTTGCTGATACTCTATCTCGTAACCTTTGTGCCAACATTACTGGGACGGAAAAACTTGAAGAGCTTCACAACATATTATGCCATCCCGGGGTCACGAGATTTGCACATTTTGTTCGTTCTAAGAATCTTCCTTTTTCAGTCAGCGATATCCGACGTGTGGTGTCCAACTGTTCCACTTGCTCCGAGCTCAAACCAAAATTTTGTGACACCTTTCGTGGCCAGCTTATCAAAGCCACACAACCGTTCGAACGCCTTAGTATCGACTTTAAAGGCCCACTTCCCTCAAACACTCGTAATAAGTACCTCTTAACAATCGTTGACGAGTATTCTCGATTCCCTTTTGCTTATCCCTGCGCCGATACGTCCTCTTCCACTGTAATTCGTTGTTTGAGTCAACTGTTTTCACTGTTTGGTATGCCTGCTTATATTCACTCAGATCGCGGTTCTGCATTCATATCAACTGAACTCAAACAATTTTTGTTCGATAAAGGCGTTGCCAGTAGTCACAATGCTGCATATAATCCACAATGTAATGGTCAGGTTGAACGACTTAATGGTACCCTTTGGAAGACCATCTGCCTGGCTCTAAAATCGCGCGGCTTGCCTGTCACACATTGGGAGGCTGTCCTCCTTGATGCTCTTCACTGTATCAGATCCCTGTTATGTACTAGTATCAACTGTACCCCACACGAACGTTTTATGCCGTTCACACGACGATCAGCCAACGGTGCCTCCCTACCTACCTGGCTTACTGTCCCTGGGCCAATCCTTTTAAAACGCAATGATCGAGTCTCTAAATATGACCCTCTGGTAGAGGAAGTGGAACTCGTCTCTTGTAATCCACAGTACGCCCACATAGTTCGTCCAGATGGCAAACACGAAACCGTATCCTTGCGCCGCTTGGCTCCCAAAGGCAACGACATGACATCCGACACAGAACAGGAACCAATACATATCGCCGAACAAGGGGAGCCTCACACAACACCAACAATCCACCGTGGTTGCTCAGAAACTGAACTCTTGCCTATTAACGATGCCTCGCCATCCCATTCTAGTGCAGATCCAGGAAATCACTTGGACATTCTTATCCGACAACAGCGCACTCACCCATATAATCTACGCAACAGAGAGGCGTAAACGACTCCATGTAACTGTTACAGCCTTTTATTTTTTACATTCTTTCTCCGCAGAGTACACACTTATTCCAAGGCGGGGAGAATGCCATGACTATATAATCCATACATTTGCATAACCCATTAACTCGTGATTCTCACTCTATTTTCAGCTCAAGTACTACAGTTATTAGACGATTAAAGCGTACATTACGTCTTCCTATTCTGTCTCCTTTCTAATCCCATCCTGGAACTACTCGACTCTCGCAACAGTGGGCATCCCTGACGGAAACCGCTTTGTGTACGGAAGCTTTTGGAGAGCTCTCCGTACACTCTCACACGTCCGGAAGTCTGAGAATACAAAGGACGCATTATGTTTACAAACTTCCGGGGCATTCCTTGGTGGGTAAGCGTGTCAAGAAGAACAGACGGATAAACTAAGTCGAATGCACCTCGGAAATTCAGGAATACTAGAATTGTGGGCCGCTTATACGTATGGCGTTGTTCTAGCACCTGACGAAGTGTGAAGATTTGGTCATAACAACCCCTATAAGGCCGGAATCCCGCTTGCTGCTCTGGAGTCAGTATCTCACGAGCCATCGTAAGGCGACGAAGCACAATTGACGCCAATAGTCTCGTTAAGACCGGAGTCAAGTTGACCCCCCTGTGTTTACCACACTCACTACGAGGCACTTTTTGAAAATGAAAACTATCGACGACTCTCCGAAGTTGTCTGGGACGAAATCCTTTTCCCTAATACAAGAAAACAGATCAGACAAGCGTCGACTGGGGACTTCACCCGGACCAGAAGCTCGATGGCGCTTGAGGGAACATATGCAGTCGTAAACCTCCGAAGCCGTAGGTGAGTCCACGTTCACAGTCCACGGTTCTGTTTCACCTGTGGGCTCTAGATGAGTGCCAGCTGGTGGCTACGAAATTGTTGCTCGAAGTATTCAGCCCATTTGTCGAGGCGTTTTTCTTTAATCGAGATGGTCGTTCCATTCTGATGCTTGATGGTTTTGGTCACACCGGTCGCATGGATCAACTGAAATAATACTCGGGTACTACCGACCTTCTGGGCTTTCTCCATATCTTTAGCATTTTGTGTCCACCAGACTTCATGGTCGGCTCGCACGCTTACCTTCACTTGACTCCTGATAATTCTTCGCACCGGGTTATGTTCGGGACCGGCTGGGATATTTCTCCAAGATTTAAGCAGTGCCACCGTTTGGTCTGATATCCAGTGCTGACTTGTACCTGGTTGGGCCGTGCCACAGGCAAAATTCCAAGCACCATCCAAAGAGGTGGCAACCTCATCCCAGTATGCGTTCACATATGATGGTGGAGCGTTTAGAAGAGACTCTAAAGGTCGATTCTGGTAATTCCGTCTAACATCTGGATCTGCCAGTCTCGCAGTTGCCAGGCGATGTGTTCGCACCTTACATAGTACAGGGAAACGTAGAAGCGACTTCGGAAGAGCACGTGGTCTGATTCCACAAATGTGTTCCAAGACCACCGGCAGTCAGTTGTTCCGCGCCATCGGTAGTTAGTGGCAACGTGATCGAGTTGAGTTTGTGGCCGGAAAACCGTTGGGGGCAAGACGACTTTGGCTGTTTCGGTAGTACTGCATAAAAAGGCCTGCAAACAGCATACGGATGAAGCAATCGTTCGCCATTGTCCGTACGTACTGAGTCCACTCCATGTCTACCACCAAATTGAGTCTCAGATTCGCTAAGCCTTCCCACCTTTGTATTCTAGTCTCCGGCAACCACAACGATATCTGAGCTTTAAGCTCGCCACAACAGGGCATTCAGGGCGTCAGAAAACCTGTCTTTGATGATGACGGAGCTTCAGTCAGGTAGGGTGCACGCAGACACGGCGAACAGACAGCGATTAAATGCTCGCTTGCGAGACTGCTTTACAGACGTTGCTGGACGAACCGTGCAAAGGCGACAATCAACGAGTACCAATTTATGCAAGAATCCTTTTGCCCGGTGTTTTAGGACAATACAAACCCTGCACATCCCGCCGCAGCAGCCTCTGGATTACCAGAGGTGTGCAGCCGGTAGCGAGTGGAGACTGACGGAGCGGTTAACTCAAGCATGGTGATTGCATCTTGGATTCTCTGAGACACAGTACACATCAATGTAAAGCGAGTCCAGTGTGAGTGCAAGAACAGCTTCTTATCCTGCTTGCTTCAGAGTGCGCACGCTGAAGGCGGCCGGATAGAATGGGTGTCGAGGCTTGAAGATTGATTTGGAGACACCTAAGGATGTCGGCGCAACGTGACGCCATGTTGCGCTCAAACCGGATGCGTGACGAACGGAGTCATCATTCTATGTTCTGAGCCCAAAAAGAGAGTTATTAATGGGATGGGGAGGGGGAAGAAAAAGTATATGAAAGAGCGAGAAAGGCGTCAGCAGTAGCCTGTTATCGCTTACCCGTCCTGATACATGCAGCGAATAAGGCGATCCGGCTGATGGCACCACGCGATGACCGACGTGGCATCAGAGTACTGTTAGTTGTAAGTGCCATAGTTCTATGTGGGATGGGATATTATCAGGACACCAACACTTAGACAGGAGGACCATTAAGGTCCTCAACTAAAGCCTTCGGTTCAAAAGCCTAACCGCAAGGTTGTGTTTGGCGGGAAATGCAAACGTATTACCATTTCTCCGTGACAAGTCGCCTTATGTCCCAACCCCCAATCTGGAGGGTAACGAGACTGTGTTCGTCAGACCTCTAAACGTTAACCAAACTGGTATGAGAGACTGAGTGTCGCGGTGACACCCCCTAATGTAGCTCAATGGATCGCCGAGGTGCGCGAACCGTTACACCATGGTAAGGTCCGGTCTTTTCGTGACGGAAGAGAAATGTAGCCCATTACGGACAGTCTGAGTGCCGTTGGGGTGAGGATCGGGAGCGCGTGATCCCCACTATGCCCGGTTGGAGACGCTGTCAGATATGGTTGCTAATCGATATCAACGGCGTTGGTGTTTCTGTCCAGATTGCCTGAATGAGTGTCTGAACCTGTAGGCATCTTGGAATGGCCGTGGTAGGCTGGCACTAAGTCCCTTCCTCATCCACCTACGTTCCTGTTTCCACAATAAACCTCTCGAATAAATTATTTTTGTACGGGGGACATCAGCGTTGAACATTGATGTTGTGTTCTCGATGATGATGAGGAGGAGGATGGTCAGTCCAAGACGACCGCCCGATTGAGCCTCAGCAGCACTACCGACTTACACATTCATATTCCCTGCGGCCACGACAATATCTGGGTTCAATCAGAACATAAGCTTGACGGAGATTCGGAGGCTGCGCCTACCTGACGAGCTCCAAGAAGGGCGAAACTGGTCATGGGCTGTTGAACAGTTTTCAGCGAAATTGAGTAGTTTCCTTCATGAAAGTATCTGAAGGTCTTAACGCACCAAAAGCGTTTTAAGAACTGTCTTTGAGTTCATCAGAGATGCGTCTTTTGGAACGCAAGCAGATGCGGTGAGTAGACAGCAGTTATCCGCGCGTCCGCGAGACACTCACACAGCAGATCTCACCTCTACCAGAAAGGCCATACCATCAGCTGGCGACTAGGACGGCGCACGCGGACCCATCAAGAAAGAAAGAAAGCGTTCAGCTGTAGCACCCTTCCGGTGCCTAGCTGCCATGCCACCCGAAGGAAGCACGAGGGCTGGGATATTGCCAGGTTGCCCAAGCCTAGACCCATCAAACAACAGATAATCACCAGCTTGAAGAATGACAGAACGCTAGTGGATTTCAAAGGCCTAGGATATGGAAAAGGCTTTCGCTGCATGCAGCAGCCGCATCCTGTTTCAACTAATTCGACCAACCGGTCGAAGTGAAAGTGAGACAAGTGAAAGTGAGGGAATATACGAAAAAGACGGAACGGCAATACGCTCTCTCAATCATCGTCTTGAGTGGTGGGTTGAGCACTTTTTGAGAACAGTTCAGCTGGTCTTCTTCTAAACAACCGCTGGGAGAACCCAGCGAATATGAATAGAATACTAACACCAACCCACTATCAGCAACCGAAATCCAGCCTGAGATATCAAGCCTGAAGTGCGGTAAGGCACCTGACCCATATGGTCTACACCCCGCGCTCTTCAAAGAAAGTGGCGGCGTCCTGGTGAACAGCCGAAAGGAGTTCCTCGACCGTCATCCCAGTCTTTAAAATGGCGTAAGAACGTCATGTGAAAATTATCATGCTTGCAGGCAAGCCAATCGAGGTGGCAAAGAAAGTCGTTTACCTGGGCAGCTTTATAAGTTCCAGTGGACAGGCCGGAGGTGAGATTATTTCTCGAATCGGAAAGTCCAGGGCAGCTGTTGTCAACCTCCGACACCTATGGCGGACATCACGTGAGTTTGTCCGTCAGGGACAGAGTTTATACTGCGGTTGTGCAATCTATACTGTTTTATGGGTCAGAAACGCGGCCTCTACGTGCAGAGAAAATAGGAAAGATGTCAGTCTTTGGCCATCGTTGTCTCCGGAGCATTAGTCAGGTGTGATGGGAACATCGGGTTAATAAAGCTGAGGTAAGCCAGACGGTCCTAGGAGGAAATCTCCCGCGGTGGATGAATTATTCGTACTTCACAGGTTACGTTGGTTAGAGCATGTACTCCGCACGCCAGATCGTCTGCACTGCAGACCTGTTCTGAGTGGGAGCGACCAGGAGGTGGACAGTGCATGACCTGGCAACAAAGTACGAAGACACTAACCAGTAAATTTGGTCGAGGAGGCACCTTACACCTTCCTGAATGAAGAACCCGCGACTCGACTGGCCAACAGTTAATGACACTGGCAGAAACGGTTTAATAACGCAGCCATTGGCGTCTATGCATAAAGGCCATCGCCTTCAATGAGTAGCCATCCGATTTCCGAACTAACTGAACATGCCATCGCCTCCAATGCTTGGCTATATATATTCCGTTTCCCGTAGCAGCTGGAACCAACGTGTCTATGGTACAAAGTTTGTAGATGACAAATTGATTGATTGACTTGACTCTCAAACATGTCAGGAGAACCGCATATGGGCGCCTATCAGCGGGCACCCATTCAACCAGATACCCTTCAGCTCACCGGACGCGCACGACCGGAAGTAAAAAACTGATGGAGAGGTTAGCTCAAAAAAATTTTCATGATTGTTGCCTGTTTATTAGTATTAAAAAAATCGTTCAGCTGTGCCACCTTTTCGTTGCCTGACTGCCACCCGAAGGGAGCACGAGGGCTGGGATACTGCCAGGTTGCCCAAGTCTACATAGAAATCGAGATGCAGAGGTCAGTTTCGAAAACGGGCCTTCCGGCCAACAATTTCGTGTCTTAAACACTGAGCCATCTCGCAAACACGCTTCAGTAAAACCTACGGTATAAGCGTGCGTTCCCATCACCACGCTTCCAACCCATCCAACCCGTGGATAACTCGGACCTCGGGGTAGCGGGCATTTCGAAGATCCTCTTTTGCACAACGCGTTACTGTTACTTGAAACTGCATACCTAAACATAACGTTAGTGTGGTATCAATCACCCATAAGCATTGTATTCAATAACAGCAGGGGACCGGCCACCTACTCGGTATTTGACTTTCTTGTTCTGTGTGCCATGTATTAAATCCACTTTTTAAGCGGTGATTAAAATATAAAATATACCATGGAATATACCTCTCACATAAGTCACTAACACCAGGTTAAGTGATGCTTAAAAGCATTAGGAACATTTTCTGAACGGTTGTTCTTAATTTCCAAGAAAGTTTTCCTAGTTCAAGTTACCTTGCTGATCCATGACGGGTAGAAGACGATGCCTTGAAGGACGCATCTCTCTGTACCGTCAACAAGACGAAGCTGGCGCGCCTACTGGAGGCATGATCACGAAGGCCGTGCAAACGGAATAATCCTCACTCATGTTATTATTGTCTTTTGCTGTATAGATGAAGACGATTGAGGCTGCGTATTGTTGCTTACGAGACAAATCAGGATGCGCGCTGTTTGAAGTTTTTGACCTCTTTCTCAGAGTTTTCTGCTCACTGGAAACCCGCCATTATTGCCGAAACTATTAGGTTTCCGAAGTTGTGAGTCTCACGGTGAGTTAGGTTAACCCATCTGCACCTTCCGGTGACATTCTGCTCATTGCATTTTGCTTAATTGAGCGAAATTTCAAGGTCACTGGCCATCACCGATTCGCATTTTGTTACCGGGATTTCCAATGCCAGTGCCCACCAAATGGACGTGGAGGCTGAAAAGCCGTTGCCGTTGGACTGGCGCCTTCTGTGAATGCCAAAAAGCCTTCCATATTTCATTTGGAGGGGACTCAGCGAATGCCTTTTTCATTCATATTGATATAGGGCCAGAAGACACCATAAGGATAGGGGCCCAAAAGGATTTGGATAGCTGGCTCGCTTCATACTTGTACTTCTCATTGCACCATGAGAAATCGGCCCAAAAGGCATTCGGCACACCGTCTCCTGTATTATTCGCACTGACTTAAAACTACACCACGGGGGCTACGTCAGACGGCTTGTGGTGTTTTGCAAATCTATGTTACATTTTCCCCATTTTCTACTCTCTTCATATAAAATTTAATTGCAATTTGTAAACACTGTACACGTATCATGACATTCTGTTTTATTGTACCAATAATTACATTAGAATCGAAAATGGAAATACACAATTTCTTGGCGCGAATTCCCTGCTTTTTGCTGAGTCAGTGAAATTGCATCCGATTGAACTGATTGCTGTTTGCTGAAGTCGTGGGATTGGATTATTGTGTTTGTGTGTGAACTGTTGAACGTCCCAATAACTCCTTGTGACAATTTTCAGCTGCCATAAATTCCTACCGTGGAATTAACTTCTAACACTCGTATTATCAGCGGAGAATATCCTTCTTACTCTGGATATATTCTTCGCCCCCGAATACGATTACTGCACAACATTACGTGTGGTGGGATTATTGGACCCCCAATTTAGTGAGTCTGTTACATTCACTTGTTCATTTATTATTGCCATTTGTTGTTTCTAATCTGATATTTTGATTGTATATTTTATTGAACACGCATACCTAGGTCCTTGTGCGCTACAGGCTCCTTGAATATGCCAACCAAGTTATCTACTCAGGATGCACGAAAGACGTAACACTCACTGAGCGTGCGCAGCTATCGGTCTCAAATCTGTGGACTGCGAAACACATCCCGCGGTGCTTTACTTCCCCCCAATGGAGTATGGTCGCCTTCGAGGGGACCTGTGTGAACAAAGATTGGATAACAGGATTTTCACCGTCGGCCCAGCAAACACACGGTGGGGAAATGATGAGTAGATTTCCAAACCCAGAGTTCACACATTCATCAGGCTAATTTTTTCTCGTTTCAGATAGTAGCTGCGTGGAATAACCTTCCTCCGGCGATTGTCCATGCATTGTCTAGAACCCAATTCAAAACCCTATCAGGAACTTAGCTATTCAAGCACGCCGTCCCGCGCTGTGAACATACATAGCGATGCTATATTTTTTCACTTGTGCCTTTCAGGCTAAC